TAACTTCTGTATATAAAACTTTTTATGTTTATTCCTGATTTAGTTGCTATTGTTACGTCTCTGGTCGTTAGTTAATTTTTCGTAAAAATTCTTTCTGAAGTACCAGTTTTATTTAAGAAAGGACTTGTGTCGCTAAAGTTTAATTGGAAAGAAATTATACGGGAAATTAACTAACGACCAGAGACGTAACAGTATCATAAGTTGGCCTTGCATAAAAAAGCGACTTATCAGGGTGGGGTGGGGGGATTAAAAACACAGCCAATTTAATATTAGAAGTGAAATTCTTGGAACAATTCGGAACTATACAGAGTGGTCGAGGGTGTCAAGACCCCCTTCTCTAGAGAGAAAAAAAGGATAAGTATAGAAACATCGTTACTCAGTTTGTGAAGCTCTAAAATAAGAAATAAGTATTCTATATATTATTAAGTTTATATCCTGATCCAGTGGTTGGACCTGTACCTCCTTTTCTCAAATTAATGTATCTCGTAGTATTAGTCCACAATTTTATGTTTGGTAAACATATCTGCTTATGATTTTTCTCAATTGTAACATAAATCTTTATAGCTTAATTGTTAATTGTACAAACTTAGTCCTGTATTTTAGGGTATGGTTGTCATTATGGACAAAATAATAAGGGTCATATCATATATGAATGAAAGTTTGCACAAGCATTCTGACAAATACGTCGCTCGTCTTATATGATATCCTTTCCATACCATACAGAGTAGATTATTTTAATAGGATTTTAAATATCCAAATCAGCGAGACACGTGACAATCACACATAGGCGTACGGTCCCAAATCCTTTTTTATGGGGAGAAGCAAAAATTTGCCCAAATTTTATATTACAACAGAACAGAAAATACCTGAATTTGGATAATAACACTAATAAATTTATTTAAACATAGTGTGATATGCAACAAACACTGTGTTCACCCTGAATGTGCGAAAATGATGGAAATGAAACAATACACATGGGTTACTCAATACAACCATTAAACTCAGTATCGGATGCTCAGAAAATATAAGAGTCTTGCCCTTTTCTCCTAAAAAAGGTGTCAATAATTTTATCCATGTAATTTTCAATAGTCCTTTTAGCGTAAGCTCATTCAATGTTTATAATAGCAGTACTGTTCAAATGGTCTTGTCCCATTGTTGTGCAGGGGTAGGTATTCATGAGTCGCAATCCGCTGAAGGACTTTTCTGCCAAGCATGAAGTGGACGGAATTGATGCCAGGGTAGTCGCTGTCTCGTATAGCACAGGTCATAATTCAATTAGTCTATCCTGAAACATATTGTCAACGACACCTGCTGCGGTATTCAACTGAGGGCTCGAATGTTCTTCTCGACTTCTAGAAGGTCTTTGTCAACACCATAAAAACCTGATACCACGTCGAAGCTGTTATCAGAAGGTCAGTCGGTCAACACAATGCCCCCTCCCAAGCCACAAGATATCTTGGTCGTTACATTTGAAGCGATATATTTCATTTCACAGAGTACTCTGCAGAGGCTTCAATAGCATGTATTGATACGGTGGTGTTCTTTCGAGGTTTGTATACGCGCAGTATCAGTTGATTCGCCAATGAGCACTTGCAAGCAGTGGGTTGGTTATTTCTTGGTGCTCTCGTTTCCTTGAATGGGAATCGAGTCTCTTCGATTCCTTCGTTTATCCTATCAACAAAGATCTGTGCTGTAGTCCACAACTGCTCTAAGTTTATTTTCGTCCCGACAGTCGCTGGTGGTGATAACGTCCATTTTCTTTCTTTGCAGATATATACTAAGACTGCTTGTATTTAACAATATTACCTTCAGAAGGAGCAATCCAAACACGAATTCAAAATCGCAAACAGCATTCAAAAGTGCAGTGCTGTCAGCAGCCATCATGCGTTGTTATCACCTGATGAGATGAGGAGAGCTTTGATAATATTTGACATCTGCTCAGTGACAGCTTTCATTGCCTCCCATCGGTATGAACATCTTGTTACATTCAAGGATTTTAGTGTAAGAATGATTTGATCATCGTCTACTTCAGTATCCTTGAACAGAGCATGTGTTTTGGACTCATTTCCAGGAAATTGTAAAGGCTTTGGATTGTCCCGAGCACATTTCTAAGTAGTTGTATCTCACTCATTGTATCCTGTAGCACAAGATTAAGGAGATGACCATAACAATGCACATATATTCCTCGCAGTGAGCACTCTTTCATTCGAGTCGCTACTCCTTTATGAATGCTACTCATATTAGATGCACCATCGAAACCTCACTGACAGTTTATTCCAACTTCAGGCCAAGTCCACTGATAACCCTATTCATGATTTTATATAACGCTGCTCCCTCAGTTGATGTTGTCGAGAAGAATCTGATGAATGCCACTTCTGTTTTATTATCCCAAACGTATCTCAGGCAGAGTGCCACTTGCTCTATTTGGCTGATATTCGAGGTTTCATCCATAATTATTCTAAACTTTCTGCTCATCAGCACATCATAGATTATCTGCTACACAACGAGATTGTATACAATTTCTAGTATCTCGTTCTGGGTGGATGGTGATGTTCATTGATCGTTTGCCTTAAGTTGACTTTGTAATTTCTCCTTGAGCTATGTGAGATTCTTGCACCTGAGATGCAATAATTCCACGAATTTGCCTCTACTGATATTGAACATTTCCTCTATGTTTGTTCTGCCCTTCAAATGCCCTATTATTGCAATGTTTCGTTCTGCAGTAAAGATCAGGCACTCGATAATTATACGTAAATATTCACGATTGTGAAGGACCTGCTGTTTATGAGCTGCATCCAGCTGATGCAACATAGAAGTCTGGCATTTTGCATTGATCTTTGAACTGATGCACTTCGTCATTATCTTCTTGGGATTAATGCTTCTCGAATTCTTTTTGAGTCTGTAACTCGTTTTCCAATTTTTTTAACATGAATGAGCTATCCCCCAAGAACTTCCTTCGGGGAAAGCACACAATGACGTTTCCTCACTTCAAAGCTAATCCATGGGTGTGTTTTATATGACTGAGGATTGAAATCCATGTAAGAGGTTTCTCTCCTGAACTTCTTTGGATTATACTCCTTTAGAATTGGATG